ATAGCGATCTCAGCGACTCGCACAGACACACACACACACGCACACACACACACTTGAGGGACGAATTTTGGGTGCTCGAGAGGCTCGAGCTCGACGGCAAAAGCTGCAGCGGTGCGATGATAATCGAGATTCATGTGTGTAAGTTGCGTTCGTTGCAGGAGCAGCAGCAAATGAAACGATGAAGAAGAAGAAAAGAAGAAGCTGCTGCTGCTGCTGCTGCTGGTTGAGAGAAACTGAATGGGTTGAGGCTCATATTGTTGGGCACGCTTATGTATATAGGTGAGATTGATGCGCGCAGATGCGGAGATTGAAATAGCTCCCCCGTTAGACGTCTTGAAGGCTGCGTTCGATGATGTTCCACGTGTCAGTAAGGAATAGGAAAATTTAAGAAACAAGATTTTGAATCATAATCAAATCTAGAAAAAATCACTATATAATTGCTACACCTGGTAGTGTTCATTATGAAAAAGATCATGACTCATCTGCAGAGAAAAATTGTTGGTCCCCCGAGAAATTATTCGCTTTCAATGTAATTTTGGAATTCGCTTGATTGACTTACATTTCCTCGAGTACACTAGAAGCATATACCCGTTTAAAAACTAATTAACGACGCTAAATTGTTGTTGTATAGGCTTGCGTCGAAATTGAAATAAAAAAGGATTGCTTAAACGACGGATGAGATCATTCATCTCTAAAGTAAACACGATTATAATAGGTGCCGAGTAAATACCTCTCTCTTGAAAAAAAACAACAACAAACGAATAAAAATACTCGCATGCCTCGGATCAAAACGGTTATATATCTATTTCGTCTCTCTCTCTCTCTCTCTCGCAGCGATGAACATTAACAAAGCGGATAAAAAAAAAGGAAGAATCAAAGCTTGCACGAATGGAATGCTCTCTACCTACCTTATACCTACCCCCTCGCTCGCTCGCGAATGCGGGAGTACTGTCCTAATTACTTTTGGCTGCCGCGCGCTAAAAAGGATGCCCGAAATATTTCAATCGAGTGCAGCGCGCGCATACACAAACCTCAAGGACCAAATGATCGAGGACTCACACAGACACACTTGCAGGAGAACAACAACGAGTCTCTCACTGCTCGCGGCTCGATGAATGAGCATCGGGAAAAAAAGTACAATTTTTTTTCCCCAACAGCGGCTCCTGAGAGACGTTTTGATTGTACGTGTATGCGTGTGCATGTGTGTGCATAAACGAGGGAAGATCCGAGCTAATTGTTTAGCCAATCGATGCGAGCGATATAGCGCCCGGGGAGGTATATATTATACGGAGCGCACGAGCGACTATTATTACGCTATATATAAGTAGCCGTTTATGCTTGCGGTGCACTACTCGTGAGTACTTTCACGAGCCAACAGCTTCCCGTATTTATCCAGAATTCCTCGATTATCGCGCGGTTATGCTGGGCGGCATAAATAAATCCACTCGAATTTTCAACGATTAATAAGAAAAATAATCATAGATTTGATTAGATCGAGCGTCAGGCGACGATTTTTCGATAGACAGACAGAGAAATTGAGAATTCACACTTATTGCTGGACGCTTTACTTTGAAAAAAAGATGCTCTTCATGCGCCATGTATCGATCGATCAATCATGCTAGTGCCGTTGCCGTTGCTGCTCTATGGGAGAAAAATGACTCCGGACATTTGACGTATATAAACCGAGCGACTTCTGTTTCTTTCGGGGCATTTAAATCGACGAGAGTCCGTGGTTGGTACACGACGACGCGACGACGACATATATTTGGAGATGCGTCCGCAGTCTTGGTAAATTTCAATCACACATGTACTCACCGCGTTGCGCTATAGATATTGATAGATTGTGCGCGATTCGATGCTACCCGAAGTGTGAAGCTGTGGCTTGTCGCCGACGGAAACGCCAATTATGTAAAATTATATCACGCGCAAGAGATAAGAGAAAGAAGAAGATGTATATTCGATGAAATAACCGCTGATGTATGTGTCACCTTTTCGTCACGCTCGACGCATAGCAGCATCGATCGACACGCCATAATGTAACGCGGAAAATGTATAATAATATAATTTACATACTCGTGTACCGCGTCAAAAACCAAAATTCGGTGTACGTACTAACGAGCTGTACACGTACCATATTAGTTAATTAGATGCAGCCATTAAAATACATATAAATATAAAAATCCGTATCGGTATGTAGAGTCGGCTTCTGCTTATTTAAAAGGAAACCACAAGTTTTACCGCGTATTAGACACAAATCATGAGCGTATCACGAATCTCCTCTTTTTCTTTTCATTCTTTCTTTCACGGACATTACTCATATTATATATGTATACATCGTGTTTCGGACGAAATTTATGTAGTTCCATCAAAATCGGCGAAATCGTGTTTTATATATATTTATATGTTTTCTATCGATCTGCAAACGCATGAACCAGAAATAAAAAAATTTTTTAAAAAAAGACGAAAAAACCGGTCTGTTTGCGAAGCGAAGTTCTGAACACTGCTCGTCGTCGTCGCGGTGGAATGCAATAACCCAACACACTCGCGATTATATAGACATGTAATGATTTTTCGGAGGATATGATCGGTAGTACGCAAATCGTCTCTTTCTCTATCTGTTTGAGAGGAAGCGACGACACGCGTGTGTACTACATATACGTAGACTCTCGGGGTCGAGTACGTATGTATGTGTATGTGTCAACACATATCTGAACGATACTTACAATAATACTATGTACGTAGGCGCGTGCTCTCGCGCATTTTGCGCGCCGCCGCTGTTTGCCCAAACTGTTAGCTCTCGCGGTGATTTTTGTTTCGGCTTGTGCTTTCACGACGTCGAGTCGAGAGTCCGCTTAATAATACAATACACACACAATATCTTTGCCCGCGCGTGTATTAACCACGTCCTTAAGTCGTCGTCTCTCTTTACCGGTGAATTTCCGCCTTTTTTCGTTTTTGCTTTTTGCTGTTTTTTTTGCTTTGTTTCTGCGTGCCTTGGAGTGGTCGCGGTCCATGCGACGAGCTCGACCCGCCGCCGAGGTGTCAATGTTTTACCTAGGCATTATGGCAGCGGTGATTTCCTAAGAAGAAACGGAAGTGTACTCACTGATAGCCTCGCACAGCTTCAGGAGGCTATATAGCCTAGCTCTGCGTGCCTCGCACCAAATCTTTATAATGTGCTAATGCCGCGCGTCGTATATAGCGCCCTGTTAACGGTGAGAATCGAGGCTTCGGCATATATACAAGTTTTAACATTATTAACGAGAGAGAAAAAGAATATGCTTATAGCGTGTCTGTGCTCGCGTATTATTTGCCGTGTGCTTGTTTTCTTTTTTCGCCGAAAGCTTCTACATCGATATTATATATTATACGGCTAGTATACTACTCGCGATCGACCACGACGACGACGACGACGACGACGACGATCATAAGAAAAGAGAGAGAGAGAGAGAATTGAAGAAGAGAGAAAAAAATTTCGTATTCATCGAAATGAAATATTTACCCGATTTTATATACATGTAGTATATATATTGGCTCTCAACGATCACGTGAAGAATGTCTGAACTTGGCCTTAAAGCATTATGCGAATATACGTGTAAAAGCACAGACAACAAGAGTCTGGTAGTAGACAAGGCGATTTTTTTTTGACGTTAGGAATTGCGGAGAGGGATTAGGACTGTTGGTACGTGTGTGACTTTGGTTTTTTTGCGCAATAATAAATTCAAGTACGTAATTTCAATGATTGAACGATCTTTGGTTTAATACTATACAATAGGGGATGAGGAATCTCTTCGCGAGATTCTCTCTAAATCTTTACAATTTTTCATTTCATTTCATTTAAATCTTGCGTTATTTGTTTTATAAATAATAATTTATAATTTTTCATCTCTTTTTTATCTATAATCTGGGATTCCATTTCGACTCTATTTACAATATACATATAAATTTGTATTGTGTTTATAAACGACAAATTCGAATAATTTTTCGCTACTAGACGTAAGATTATATTATATTTATAAATCAACACTTTGATCGTGACCTTTGCAAAAAAATTGACTCTGTGTGTGTATGTGTGTGTGTTTGATCGAACGGCGCTCGTAGTGCAAGTTACAGCGCGGACACCCACTTGTCCAATCGGTGGTCGTCAAATTTTTTTCTTCTTCAACATCTTGCATCTTATCCACATCGGACGATAATCGTCAGGAGAAATCACGAAGACAGAGTTCGATACGTAGTGCACAATAGTGATATTCGTGTGAGAAAAATTATACTATACATAGCAAAAGTACATGCGTGCTTCGTTTGTTAATTATAGAAGTAACACATCTGCGCGTAAACGAGTTCTACACAGTGTTTGTACATAATTACAAATAGAAGACGATGCTTTTTTTATTCAAAAAAAGTGTTCTTTTTTTGCATACTTCCAACTATTTTCAAAGCTGTTTTACAAAATAAATTTCGATTACAAAAACAAAACAACATTCATTGCTCTCGGGCAAAGTATATAATAATATAATGCGTTTGGTATACACACACACACACACACACACACACACACATACTCATACACGGGTACACACAAGGGATAGTGACAAAATTCGTTCGATTTTATCGTGATAAAAGAGGGATGTACAAAAAAACATATACAATTATTAACGAAAAAAGATATTGATCTAAAAACGTGATACCACACAATCGATTAGACGGAGAGACACATTCGAACACACACGGTCAAGAGTGCGAGCGAGGCTGGGTCGACTCGGAGGAACATCATTTCTATTTTGTAAATTTTTTTTAGTTTCAATACTTTTTGTGTTTCGACGATTTTGACGAATCGCCCAAGATTTTTCCTTATTACGAAATAAAAATGCCTAATTTTTGTCGAAAACTTTTTGTTTCCGTTCTGTTTTGCTGTACACGGATTATATTCACATATAACTCTTTTTTTTTAATATTTATAATTTGCTCGCGCAATAGCTTCTTCCCTTTTCATTAAATTCTTTTACAATTTCGAGTCTTTTTAAAGCCATCTCAACATTATATGCGGCGCGTCGCGTTGCTGCTCTTTGACTATCATCATCATCATCATCATCGAGAGTGAGAGAGAGACGAGACGAGCTCACCGGTTATATCCTCTTTCTCGCCCACTTTTGACTTTTGCCGCGGCACCTCTCTCACAAGTTAAAAAGAACAACATAAAAGAAGTTATTGACAGAATATAAAACGAGTCTCGCGAGTTAAAATCTTAAACCTTTTTTTTACTTCGTTTCGTTTTTACGACAAAATTTTCTCGAATTCGGAAAAGTTAAAATCACAAGTAAAAAATTAAAACAAGAAGGTACGTTGCGACCGTTAAAAAAAAACAGAATGATGATCGTGAGGCAGCAACGCGACTCGTTCCTTTTTTTTTCTTACACACGGAATAAATTGCCTAAAAATATTTAATACTATACTCCATTCATCTTACATTTTAAATAAAAATCGCTTCTCTCTTTGCGCCGACTGGGTGCGATTCTCTTTCTCTTTGAATTTATACGCCTAAATTATTTACAATTTGATCGCACTCTATATATTCGTAATGAGAGGGGGTTTGGGGGCCGCTTTTTTTCATCCTCGCATCATATACGTGCACACCGCGTTTGTTTTTTTTATATATTATATATAAAAAATCATATTTTATAAATATAATAATCTATTATAATAAATTTTTTTCGCTCTCTAAATTATATATAATATAGATTCCATTTTCATCGACAAGGGTGGGTGCGGAGGCGTGTCACACGTAAAGTCTTTACAAAAATAAAAATAATAATAATAAATCTGCGACAAATACATTCATACCAAAATGAATATAAAATTGATACAAGATGACGATGATAAAAAAACAAGTATAATCGTACATTATATATAGAGAGTATAATAGCTACGCGGTTAAGTCAATTAACAAAAAATTAATCGAATATATTGTACAAAAAATTGAAAATTGACCGACGCGAGGGGGGGGGGGGCATAGGGGGGACATTAAAAAATCAAACTTGTTCATGGTTGCTCGAAATCTCTCTCGCACTGTGCGCTCGCGAGGGCGCGGTGCACTCGTTATCTTCACGTATATTCTCTAATAATTATAATCAATCCGTCACGATCTATCTATGTACAAATGCTCTTTCTAAATAACAACAGAAAAAAAGAAAAAGGAAGGACGAATAAAATTTTGCTCAACATATACCGCGCGAGATTTCAATCGGTATGTATGAAAAAGATTTTACGCTTCCGTTCTGGGCCGATGCTTTCTTAGCTTCGCGGAAAGCATCGCGCGAAATCTTTGCTCGCGCGCGCACGGATATACGCAAACACACAGATATCCGTATACGTAAAGGCATCGCCCGCGTGCTTGCGGTCCAGAGTGTCAGTCAGTCGGCAATTTTTTGTTTTTCTCGAGATATCTCATACCTCGCGCGATCGCGACGATTGAAAAAACTGATAACTTCGTTCTTTGATGACGATTCCCCGATTGACATTGACGCTGCGTTGCTTCGAGAGGGAATCGGAAGAAATTATCACTTTTACATCGTCTTTTTTTTTAATTAATCTTGGTATCTCGCAGCACGAGCCTTTGGATCAGGAGTTGCGTATATCGCGTTCGCGAGCGTGAGTTTTTGGTGGTAGTGGTGCTTCGAGCGCGTAAAAAAGCGAAAAAAGATAAAAAGTTACAATCGAGATAGAAGAGTGGGGAAGAGAGAAAATAGAAAAGGGCAATTAAACTATCTATATATTCACACCGATCGCTTAAAAATCAATTACCATACATGCGGATACGCAGCAAATGAAAATTGTTCACTTTTCATGAGGGTAATTTTTTTTAGGGTCGATGATATATCAAAAACCAGTTTAGTTCTCTTGGTATATCGCGAATTGCACTAAATTAGTCGTCGTCACCCGCTCTCTCCGACGATTTTTCCCTTTTTTTTCTTTCACGACACTCGCTCACATACTGACAGACAGACAGAAGCTCCGAGATCCAGATCCAACGTTGTATCCACAAAAAAAAGAATCTCCTTCCTTTTTTTCTTCTTGTCGCGCGCGCGTGTTTACGTGTGTGTTTGATTCGGAGCCAGCGGGGCAGCAGGGGGCAGGTGCGGGTGCGAGTCCTCGTCGCGTTGTACGTAGTATTCTGGGACCTCGTATATGGTAGTGACTCAGCGCGATACATGTATACATAGCGAGAGCCAAGAGCGTACACCTCGTCTCGTATATATAATATATGAACTTTGTCACTCTTTTTTCACGAAAGACACAGAGCCAGTTTTTCCTCGCAGCCGCGACGCATATCTCTGCAGATGGTCTGTATTTTTGTATTGTTTACTGGAATTTTGTTTTTTATTATGGTTATTCATTGATAGATGCTTGCGACGTTGTTGACGATGACGACACGATGACAAAACAGAGGGGGGAGAGGGTCTGCTGCCGATGGACGACGATGATCTTCTACTTCTTCTTCTTCTGCTCCATTACACTAATATACATAATAATGTAGAAGCGTTGGTGCAAGCACGCGTTAACGAATTAACGGGGCAGAGAGCCGCGAGCGGGTGCGTAACACAGCTCAGACGGACGTCCTCTGGATCTGCGAGATCAGATGATCAAACACCTCGACGATGTACTCGAGGCCGTTCATGTAGTCGCGATAGATGAGCCAGTCGCGCAGATTGCGATAGGTCGCGCTGGTCCACATGTTGCGATACTCCTCGGGCATGATGTCGCGATCGATGTCCTCGCGCTGGGGCACGTTGCGCTCGGCCAGGGCCATCTGTACCTCGCACAAGACCTACATGAAATCCAGGGCAGAAAAGGATAGCGAGAAACGCCAAAGTTATTATGATGTTTGAGTTGAGCGATTATTATAGAGTAGTATATTGTAGAGTGAAAGTATAACGATTTCCACACTTGGATATATTTCCTTTTTTTTTCAATAAATAATAAATCTATAATAGAAAAGCGGGCGGGAGAGTGAGAGCAATACCGGTAAAGGCATAAAAAGTCGAGTATATAAAAGCTCGCAATAGTTGGCTTTCCGGAGACCCCCGGAGTCTTTGGAAATATATCCATTACGATGCGGCGGCGCAGCGCAGTCAGGCGCGAAATCGTTTTTAAGGCTAAAACCTAAATGGACCGCGACTCGTAGCAATATACAATTAAAAATGATTTTTCCAGCAAAAGTAATTAAGGCGCGCGCGCTTGGAAAAGAGAACAGAGATAGAGAAAAAGATATTTATGTATTTGTATTTTGTATGGAGTAAAAGAGGAGGAGGAGGATAATTACCGATCGCAGATGATTCTCCATGTCCTTGAACTCCTGCTGGAAGGCGAGCGCGTTGTCCTGCTGGTCCCAGGCGACCTGCTCGAGGCCGACCGCGTAACGCTGCAGGTACTCGTACACGTTGAGCAGTGCATTGTCGAGCTGCGTTTCGCGCAAAAACAGAACGGGACGATTAGCTTGGGTATCGAGAAATAGTTCCGGGGTATAGTCGTGCCTCAGCACGTAACCCACCATGCGCACGTCCAGCTTGTCGAGGTAGTCGAGGCCGAGGGGCTCGCCTAACTGCTTGGGTATCTGCGCGAGGCCCGGCAGCCAGTCGTAATGGTTGTCCTTCCAGGTCAGGTGCAGATCCTTGAAGTCCGTGCCGAATGTCCGCTTGATCTGTTTGAGAAAAACAAGAGGGACGAAAATTAGTTCGAGACTCGTGTCGTTAATTTATATATACTGTATTTCATATATGTGTAGCAGAGCAGCGTATAATATACGCGAATTTAATGATCTCCCGAGACTCGCATTATGTACGATGTGTATAAAGCGGCAATCAAGCGTATGTCTGCGAGTCTGCTACAGATTTAATGACAAAGGTCGCGTTTAGCGCGCAACATGGCGATCGCGCGCGCACCGGAATTAAAGGTCTGACCGTGCCGCCCTTTTTCCCATTCTATATGGCACTGATAGGCGGCGCCTTGGATATATCATAAGCGGCGATGATCCCCACGTACGCTGCGTGTATCGTATATACGAAAGCACCGACCGACCGGAACTGGAACATTATGTGTTTTGTATGTGTGTGTGTGCGATGATGATGATTCGCCAATGGAGTTTGCACGCGCCTATATACGAGCGGATAGATATCTGTATATATAGTGTGCCCGCAAAGCAACACTACTCATCGCACATATTTAATATTTGCTCATCTTGAAGTATGCCGCGCAGCAAATCTTATAATATACGCGCGCCAGGGCTCGTGCATAAGGTGAAATCGTCGTCGTCGCAAAAGAGTAAACCTGTGGGAATCGAACCCCGAGACAACTTCGATTTTTCGACTTCGCACTCGGCTCCAAGATTTTTTTTTTAACAGAGAGAGATGAGTTCTAGAAGCAGCGGCAGCAGCATGACGTGGGGGACGACGACGTCGTTGCGGTTGCGAATATCTGGGCCCTATAAGTTCGACGAGCGCGTCGAGTATTTATAGGTATGTAGAGAGAGAGAGACGCGTCTCTCTCTCTTTCGTTCGGGTAATTTTAGGGATTTGAAAGTGTTTTTTCTCTCTCTCACTCTTGCCAAGAGAGCTCAGGTCCAGGGCCAGCAGCAGCGGAGCTTAACTCTCTGCGGAATTCGTGAAATTGGTCGGTAATCGATGGGCCTCAATGATGATGCAGAGCAGACGAGAGAGAGAGAGAGAGATGAGGGACACAGGCAGCTCACCCGGTGTAACTATATAATATATATAGAGTGAGAGTAGTGGCGTGTGCGGTTAAAAACGCGCAGATGAGAGAGCATAATATAACGCGGCTGCTGCTGCTGCTGATGCCACCACCGCCGTGAGAATGTATATTTCGATACTTTTTTTTTATACATATACCCGAAATGGTCATTCAATTATTATCAAAATTACATCTATGCGCGAGAAGAGAGAGACGCCAGGGCGGATGAAATGCCATTCTTGCGCGATCGATCGACCGCGTTTAATTATGTTATAAAAAAAAAATAATACGAGAGAGGGAGAGAGAATGAAAAGACTCAACCGATGATGATTCGAGTCTTTTTTTTTATCGAACAATACGACGCGCGCATTATTATAATATTATCGCGCGACGCGGAGTCGATATCACCGGCAAAACCGCACGCAGACAGAGCGTTATGATACACGCGTATACTGCACACATGGTGGAGTGCAAAAGAGCCAAATCCAAATGTACAGAAGGATAGATAGAAAGAGAGAGAGAAAAAGATATAGATGCAATCGAGCTGCGCTTCTGGGTATTTTAGTGTAGCGATATACTTAAGTATAGGCGCGAGCCAGAGAGACTTGAAGTGCACACACGAGCTCGCGCTCTTATCTTTCTCTCTCTTTTCTCTCTCGTATGTAGCATATAATACTTTGGAATGGCAATAATAATCGCACGCCAGAATATGCACTATATGTGGGGGCTGCTGCTGCTGTCGAGTAAAATACATTTTTGTTCGCCGAGTGCGCAGAGAGAGAGAGAGAGAGAGAGAGAGAGAGGAGTCGGATTTATATAACAAACAAAAGATCAGGCAGAAGGAAGGAAGGAAATATTAGACAGAAAAGCGATTACGAGCTTGGCCTCGTCGTTAGGCCTTATAACATAATAGAGTCAAGACGAGAAATTAGCAACGCAGCTAATAAAGGCGTGTGTAATGTCGACGAAAAGTCGCGCGTATATGTACACATTATGAGAAACAAAATGTATCATAAGCGTGTGTGAGCGAGCTAATTGATTTTTCTGCGCGCGTCCCGACGACTTTTTAAGCGCGCACAAGGATTTAGCGCGTTATATACACCAGCGAGCCATGGCATAAGGTATATGATTTTGGGGAGGGAGTGCACAAGTCCGAGTAGGCCTACTTCCTGTCCGAGTGTGTGTCTTTTGCTACGAGACAAACTATAACGCCCAAGATTTGTGGTTCCTTTTTTACGATCGTGTTTCTCTCTTCTGGCGTTGTAGCGTTTCGGCGTCGTTCCTCGTCGTATAACACGCAAAATCGTAATCCAGGAGGAGGAAAGGTGCGTGTGTGCTTATACAGAGCCGAAAAGGAAGAATATAAGAATATTATATGCACGGCACACAGAGGATTTTTACGAGAGAGTGACTGACGCTAGCTCGCTATACGCGTTATCGCCAATGTCTTTATGGGGAGGGATTTGTTTAGTCTTCTTTGATTTATCGCTTCGAGACTCGTTCGCGTCGCGGTTGCGCGCGACGATTTTTCGTCGATACTATACATGATAATAATAATAATTTCTAATGTCTCGGGAGCCACAAGTGTATAGAATACATCCAAACAGAGCAAAAGAAGAGTGAGACATAAAGTGCAAGAAGAAGAAAAAAAAATTGTCGCGGGAGTGAGCGAGAGAGAAATTGTTACGAGAGCGCTAGCGTTGGCATTCGTCGAAGAACGTGCAGCAGTAAGCAAATGTGAACCTGTAAGCCGCGCAGCAGTGAGTCGAGAGTCGTAGCCGAGCGCGTTTCGGGTGACACAGGATGTTTACACATGTAACCGATTTGTTCGCAAAAACGCCAATGCAAGTACTTTTTCTCTCTCTCTTTCTCTCTCTCCTATTCGTTCGTCGCGCAGGTTTTCTTTCGGGGACCTGCGGAACGATGCGGAACTTGAAGAATTGAAAAGAAAAATAATAATAATAAAGGTGAAGGAGAAGTCGAATCTATATCCCGAATCTCGTCTCTTCCTTTGCTTCGCGATACAACGTGTATAAATACGACGACGACGATGTGTATATGTAAAGAAATAGCCGCGGCGAATCAAGTCATTAATTAAGCGTCCATAATTCATTTCGAGATAAATATCGCGAGATCGGCAGCGGCGGATTACAACGCACGCGCCTTATACACATAGCGCTGCACGTAGCCAAATGTTATACACGAGTGCGAGCGTGTATTTTCGGCGCCTTGTAATCTACCGATTTTTATAACAATATTTGGGGGAAAAGGAAGGATCCGAGCGCCGGGTATGCGACGATCGGCGCTGACGATACGAGTCGGACCAAATTAACTCGCTGGATTCGGAGAGACACATACAATACGCAAACGATCACCTAATTAGATGCCTATAAAAATATCTCCAAGTTGAAAGAGAGAGAGAGAGAAAAGAAAAATCCAAATCTTTGACCAGAAAAACGATGTTAGCATATCGAAGCCGGTGTGGAGGGCACTTTCTGCGTCACTTTCAGCGCGCGCGCGCGGTATAAAAAGCCCCCGAGAGATGCGCGCATCCGGCGCGATTTTTTAGTATGCAAGTCAGGCGGGCCTGACTCGGCAGTTATATAGATATTGTGTTTATATATAATACAGCGCACAAGCTCGACGCTCGACGCGATATATACCGATGCCGACTGCCGACGCCGAGATACACAAGAGAGGACCCACGTGTACAGCGTGAAAAAAAAATTATTATTTTTTTTTATACATATACGCCGTATATAAATAAAATCGGGACTCGGGATGGTGGTGGCGATTCTCGCGTCGTTTCGCTCGGATGTCCGCTCGATTCCTTCTCTCTTTCTACGCTTCTTTTTTCTTTCGGCTTTCAGGCGCGATCGCGTCGTCTCTTTTGTCTATACAGCGATAATGTATACACTCGCTTAACTAATATCAATTTATGGTAAAAGTTATGTATAGTTATATTTGCGACCGAAAAACGGCGTCGCGATGCCACTTGACCGATAAGCTCTCGTCAATAGCCCGCAAAGTTCAAGCGGGGAATTATCGTCAGCGTCCGGACTGCTGCGTGTGTAAAGGCGCTTCGGAGATAAGGAACTAATACGATGATACAAGCGTGCCCGAAGGACACGAAATGAAGAGAGGTAAAAAAGCTTCCTGTTGCAGCAATAGAGACGACCCAAGACGTGTTATATTTACCTATACAATAAGTATAAGCGCAAGCATATAACATTAAACATAGGGACAAGATCGCCATGACTCTATATTATAATACGTCAGGCGCCTTACGTCATATTTGTCGCGCGACACACGCTGCTGCTGGCTGTTACTTATTCTTATGGCCTTTACCTTATTTCTTTTTCGCTGCTGCTGCTGCCGTAACTGCACGCCCTATCGACGCCTTTTTCTAAATTGCAACGCGACACTCTCTCGACGCTTTCTTCTCGAGGGCAATAGTGTGGATACACGCGCGTCGGCTTGCTGCTCCATATACACGCATACACCCACCAATATGTAGTGTGGCCATAATATACAATAACGTATGTATACACACATATATAATATACATATGTCGTTTGTGTGTGTGCATAGACTATGGAGCTCAAAGGAATGTGTCAGTAGTCGCCTTTTAGATTTTTCTCTCTATACACGTCATGTTCTGTCACAAAGGCTAAAAAGTATATACAAGTTTAGTGTGACGTCGCAGGGGGTCGTACTCCGCTTGTCTCGTATTATTGTAGGTCAATTCCGACGAATCGTAAATAATCGTAATCGTAAATAACTCGCGTGTCGGAATATTTCAATTTTCGGTATTATTCACCGCGTCGTTCAATAGTAAGAAGTCCATCGTCTTCGAAAATCAAAGACATGAATTTGTTGAGAAGAAAAAAATTATTGAATAAATCGACACGCGCAAACAGGTGTTATATGGAAGCGAAACGAGTGTAAACTTTTGTACATTAACATCGCGAAGCTGTGTTACGTATATAATCGATGAACTGCCATTATATATGCTTCGTGATCTCGTGCGCGCATAAATTATACATATATTTAAGCGAGAGAGTCGAGGCTTCATCTCGTGTGTTTAGCCTTGATTTTCGGTGTGTGTTAGTAATAATCGACACGACTGCGAGTCGCGCGCGCGACAGAGAGATTTATGCGACGATGACGGGATCTCAGCCACCGCCGCCGCCGCAGCAGCAACAAGTGCCGATGATCCAAGTTCGCACGCGGCCAAAAAAAAGTAGCGTATATAGTGTATAAGATAACGAGCGTGTTCGACCGATCGTTACCGGTCACACGCTTTCGTTTCGCTTCCTTCATCTTCTTCGCTGTTCTTTTTTTTGCTTTTGCTGCTGATGCCTTCTCTTTTTCAAGAATATTTATAAAGAAATCAGCGCGTCGCGAATATTGGGATAGAAGTAGAAGAAGAAAAAAGGCCAAAAACCGATGATTTTGCACCGTTGCGATCATGCCGATCAGACTATATACACGACGGTAGACGACGACGATTCAATCGAGGCATACAGTGTGACTGCTATAATGCTTAAATACGTGCGCGTCGCCGCTGCATCAGGTATAATATATTATATCGGAACAGCCGGTAGAGAGAGAGAGAGAAATAAAAAGTGAGCACGAGAGAGAGAGAAAAGACGGAAGCTCGTCATACATAAAAAAAGTCGTTGTCTCGGCCGCCGCAGCACGCGGGGGGTATAATATACCTCTTACACACACGTTTTCTGCTTAGTATCCAACTTCTTCTTCTTTTCATTGAAATTAACAGTGTCTTAATCATAGAGGCGTGTGCCGCTTCGTCATTACTTCACGAAGAAGAACTATTGAATTCTCGACAATCGTATCGATTCCGAGTGCATTTTCACGTGATGCTCTTTCCATATACTATTATAAAAGTATGTAGCCGAACTCGTATACGGTATGATGACTTATAAGTAAGTACATGAATATATTTTTCTCGTGCTTCGAAGCGGGCGGGCGACGGCAACAAGTCCCAAATGAAAACTTCTCGGTACCAATACCGGACACGGTGAACAGGTCTCTCGGCGAGCGAGAGACTGTATACATTCTTGAGGATTCTCTGTATAAATGTATACACACGTACGCAACGTGGTATATAATCGCGCTCGCGAGTGTGTATGTGTGTGCGCGAGATTCACGCGCTCGACTCTCTGCCTCGCTTCTCTCTTTCTCGAGGTGTGCTGCTGCTGCTGCTGCTCGAGATTCCGAAAAACGAACGGGTCGGTTTTAGTGTAAATCGAGGAATATCGCGGCGGAGCCCGAGAATCGAGAGTCTCCCTCGAAAAAGCAAGCGTATATAGAAGCAGAGAGAGGAGCGGAGAAAAAAAATTGAATGAACGAATGAATGAAGGAATATTTAGAGTTAACAGATCAAAATCGTGTGTATATTACTCTTACTGCTCTTGCATTATGAGTAAAGGAATAAATAAATATAGACAAATGTTGTACTCACGTAATCGTCGCGCACGTTCTGGGCGTAGTTGAGCGCCGTCTTGGCCTGCATGACGATGTTGCCGAGCAAGGTGGCGTCGTCCAGCTGCACCACCTCCACGTCGTCGTCGGCGAGCTCTTCGGCGGCGAAGCCGCACGGGTTCTTCCATTTGGCGACGCTCACGAGGCGTCGGGCCTCGCGGGCCTCCTGCGACATCATTGCGAGCGGCGCGCCCTGGCCGACCGTGACGGCGAAGAGCGCCACCAGAAGGCTGCCGAGGCCTACCAAGCAAAGACAAACTTGTCACATTATTACATTTGCGTTCTCAGACTCAAAAAAAAGTTTTTTATCCATATATTTTTATATTTATGATATATTGATTGATTTAAATATTTATTGTATAAATTATAATTTAATTAAAAAAAAATTGTGACTCTTTTATAAAAGGGGGCTCGATCGATGTATTGGGTACAAACGTATACGCTACAATTTGCGCGTGATGCAGAGCGAGCAACGCGCATTAATTTACGTAATGAATGCGCGAGAGCAATGTACTTTCTAGGAATCACAATACGCGCGGCGATACGCACACAAATCATTCGCAGAATGATTTATACACGAAGCCGCCACGGGCCCAAAAAAAACGAAAAAAAAATCGGTTCCGGGGGAAAAGGGGGGTAAGGAAGGCACACGAGGGGTCTCTCTCTCTCTCTCTCTCTCTCTCTCTTGAAGAAGCAGCAGCACATTCGTACCTACATAATAGCACCTGTGCCGTAATACGTGCATTACACGATGCTTCAGCAGCTCTTTTATGATCGCAAATTCGCGCGCTCGCACCGACACCCGTGATTATCGTGCGCGGCGCTGCCGCCGTGTGTGCTATATTAGGTGGCCGAATCAAGCCGCCATCGACTCTGCGGGTAAATTATAAATTTTTCTTTGCTTCGGCACACACACACACACTTATATTCACAGGTAATTCATGTGAGTCCGGGGACATAACACCGCTGCCGTTTAACGAAGCAGCATATGGTGGTGTCACGCGCTCAAGACGTATAAAAACAAAAAGCGTCGCGAGCAAGGATTTATTAACAGGCCGGAAAGACTAGAAAATCCCCCAGACTAATCTCCGGGGAGTATATCGATTTTCCGTCTAGGCGAGATGTCACTCAGACGTTATTTCCCCGCGCATTAATTTCGCAGCCCCCAAAAAATTATCGTCTCTCTCTCCCCCCACGACGATCGATCGACTATTATATATGCTACAAGTGTGTTTATGTGTGCACGATATAGTTGCGCGATCGGCAATGAGCTTATAATACATGCCATAAACCTGCTGCAAGCGTGTGTGTTTACGTATAGGTCTATATGTACGCGGCTCGTCGAGGTAAATTAGAGGCTTCAACTGCTGCTGCTACTTCTGCTTGCTGCTTGTTTCGCACAAAAAAAGGCGGTACGCGCCCATCAGGCAAAAAAGGGGGAGTGTACACTCTCCGAGGCGAGCTGCCTGCCTGCCGCAGCGGGAGCTGTTGCTGCTCTATGTATAAGAGAGGCACACACATGAAAAGAGAGAGAGAGAGAGAGACTAACTAACACACGCAGAAGAAATCGCTGGAAAAATGCAGTAATGGTGAACGCATTGCTCGGCGACAATTATACGCAATTACCGCCGGGGCATACACGCGTATATGTATTTCTGTCTCGCGAATACGAGTAAAAGAGAGAGAGAGAGAGAGACATAGAAACGGTGGCTAGATTTGCGGTAGGTTCAGCAGCAGTTTAACAGAGAATGAGTGCGAAACCATACACACACGCGCGTTGGATTCTTCGTCTTCTTCTGTATATTACAGAGATATATCTGCGAAACGAGCGGCATTTTTTTTATTATACATATACACTGTGTCGGGACCCTACATATAGGTGCTGCTGCTGCTGCTCTTTGGAATTTCGGAAATTGCGCGATGATCGATGAGGCCAGCGCCGGGATCGGTATTATACACACACAAGGCGCATTATGCATACATAATGTAATACGTTGGGTGTATCCTCTCTCCACGAGGAGCAGAGCCACCAGCAGTTCTTTTTTTTGTGTGTGTATCTCTCTGAAGTATTAATTAAAAAGGCGTTACTAAACGGCTCTTTGATAGTAGTTTGTGTTGCGCTGCGGCTGAGCACAGCGATCGGCCTTTGTTCCCCTCCGCGAGATCAATGCCATCGGAGAGAGAGGCTTTTTAAATATATTCAGGACGATTTTTATACACACACAGACAAACAGAGGGCCGCGAGCAGGCGTTATTATTTATATAGGCAGCAAAGAGATTCTGCAGAAAACGTGCCTTATGGGGCATTAAAGATTGACAAACGACTTTCAACACTCGCGCGGGGGGAAAGAGAGAGAGAGAGAGAGAGAGAGACAGAGGGAGGAGGTGGAAAAAGAAAAATAATAATATATAAAAATCAAGATCTCTGCCTGTAATAACAAAGGAAAAAAGCGGACTGTGCGCGTACTCGAGTTAAAGAAACTATTGTCTTTATAACGATATTTACCGAGGGTGCTGCTGCTGTTAGCTGCTGCATATGCATATAATGTGTATAAGCGAGCGCGCGCGAGATGTCGATTTGTGACGCAATCTCATAATCTCGCGAGCGTCAAAGCCTTTATATTAATAATAATCGGCCTTTTATCTCTCCAACGACTGCAGTAGTCATAAGCACACATGCATGTACGTTTCTAATGCTAAATGCATCCTTCGATTCTCATTGTTGTTGCTGCCGCTGTTAAAGGTTCTTATTATAGCGCAGGGACTCTATAAATAAATATATACATGTGTCTGGAGTGCGGCTGCTGTGCTGCACTTGTTCGTGCACACACACACACACACACGTACACACATAAATATAAAGATGCGCAAGTGCATGTATTAATCATACACATTGTAAAGATCGTAATGCAGGCTGCAACCGGTGGCGATTCCTCTGCGGCAAAAATATTCGAGCTATTCCCGTTTAATTATTTTCATCACTCTGCTCGGCGCGGTGCAGTGGCTCGCGGATCACCGGCAGCGCAGCAGCACGTGCTAATTGTCACCGCCGGACTTTTTCTGTGCTGCAGCAACACTAATGCTTAATTCATTGCGGCAGCAGAGAGTATAGTGCTACAAAGCGAGCAACACGAGTTAGTAATATAGCTGAGCAAAGAGTCGAGTTAATTTTTGGCCTGGAGACGATCGGAATTATTTCAATTTTTATTCATCATTACTGCGTTCCACATTATTATTTAAGAATAAAAGCGAGAATCAGCCAGTAGCGTCACGTGCTCCGCATTATATAGAATATAATTGTTATCCGTATGATACGCGCGGCCACATGGCTCCGAAGCTTCGATCGACCATATAATACAAGAGAATATACAAGCAACAAACAAACAATAGAAAAAGAAAAGCAAAAGTCAAAAGCATCGGTGTACAAAGAAGAATGAAAGAGAAGACGCCCTTACCGGAAAAAAGTGACGACAGAGCGACGAGTTGGGGAGTACAGTCCTGCCAAAAATAATAAAATACAAAGCGAAGGAAAGTACGGGCCGGCGACAATGAACGCGTATCCTCGGGCACGTACGGACGCGGAGATTCACGCAGCGACACACGGCCAAAACTTTTGTCAAAAATACCGTTAGACGTATATACACGGCGCGTCTTTATGCACGCGATAGTGCAAGCGGCGGATGACTAATAATTCGCAGCTCGTCGCGCGGAGTATATAGAGAGGAGACGACGCCGCCGCCGCCGCCGGTGCAGTGGCCAAGGCAGGCGCACAGGTAGCTATAGGTGTAGAGGCGCGCACTCGCACTCGTGTGTACGATCTCCAATGCGGCGGGATGACGTCACTGCGCGCCCGATACTTATGTATATATTCGCACTCACGCAGGCGCGACACCGACGACGCCGACCATCATCATCATCATCGCACGTACGTCACTGTATTTGACTGCAGCCGTCGCGCGTGTGAAAAGTCGGAAAAAACGTGTGTAGTCGATTCTTGTGCGTGTGTGTGGCCGCTAAGTAGTTATATACACGTGACATATGTAGTTATTTGAAAAGGGGGGAAATTCGTCGGTTATAATTACGCAACGGCGGCCCCCCTACATGCGCTGACTCGGGGAAAATCGGTACGAAAGTTCAAAACGATTATCGGTAAGGTATATCGCACACGCGCCGCCGCAAGTGTAAAAAGGGAAGGTGCCGCGCGCGTATGTATGTGAGGCGCAAAAAGCGCCGCTGCTTGATGGCCGTCACGCGCGTATATATGACGAGTGGCTCGATTATAAAAGCTCGGCGACCATAATATACGATGCACGCACACACATATAGCCTGTTACGGGCTTTTAAACGGTCCCCGCGGGGACTCGAGCGACGCGCGCTAGACATATCGCATGGCGGCCGAGTACTGTATATAGCGAGCAAAAAGTCGACTACGCGCTGCAACGTCGCGAGCGTAATTAGTCTAGGGCGACACCGTATTTTTCCGTCTGTAGACACTTTGCTCCGCCGCCGTAGTCATCGTAATAGGTGCGCGCGCGATTCCGTTAATGCGCGATAAATCACGCGCGATACCCTATTAAAGTCGCGTATCGCCAGCGCAAGTATTATTAAACTCTCGTTTTATTAACTTTATATAGAGATGCACCTGAGAGACTGCTCGTAAGAAGAAGCGTTGACAAGCTTTTCACGCTCGCGATTCATCAACTAGACTATCTCGGGCCTTTCATCGATTCTTTTTCATTTTTTTTATATACGGCTACGAAAATTCTTCCTTATTTCCTTTCTTATTATATATATACTATTTTTTATTTAACCGCGAGCTCGACGTTTAATACCGTGGGAATATCGCGACAAAAAAAGGAAGCGAGTCAAGAGCAAAAATAAGAACAAAAAAAAGAGGAGGAAAGATAATGCCATGGCTCTGACTCGTAGTTACTCTCTCTCTCTCTATCTCTCTCGTCTTGCTACGAGCGAGTCTGGTTTGGCTACTTTTTCGCGACTGTATAGGACTTGTGTATATAATATACACATGCAAAATCACGAGAAAACACGTAACACACCACGTTTAGGTCTTCATTTTCACTTTCTTGCCGTACTGGAGCAGACGACACCGTACATACACACACACACGAGATCGCTCCGAAAGAATAACACGCGCGAGACACACTGAGACAGACTCGCCGATTGTTTTGACGCACTTTATTAAATTTGATACAAGTACATTATTATATTAACACGCGTACTTGTATCGATAAGCGTCG